CCTCCCCCTCTCCCGTGCACCCCACCTCCCCTCTCCCTTCCAAAACCTTGGTAGTGTTGCTGTGCTTAGCTCCTGATAGAAAACCACCTGTATTAAGGTGCAGAATCATCAGACAATTAGAAAGAAAGATAAACTAATTCCTGAATTGTCTCAGGCAGCCTACTCATTAGTTGGGGTGATACAGTAACACATTTACTGCAATGCGAATTAAGAAAATAAATAAATGTGAAGGATGAGGGAAAGTCTGTTGTGTCCAAAAGGCCGTTTCCCTAATGATTAATACGAATTGTAAACACCTTTTGTTTGCCCTTGGATTCTGCTGTTATTAATTAATTTCCTAAATTGCCACATTCTTAACAGCTGCTTTGGGTAGCTCACCACAGGTTTGTACAAGATTTGTCGTGGCCCCTCTGCCAAATCACTCTCTGTCCAAGGAGCTTTATACATGAAATCTAAAAATAAAAGATCAATGTGAAATTTTAAAATAGATTCAAAGTATGTTTATGCTTTAATAATTCCAGCAGGTGTCTTGTGCACAATGACTTAGTGGTCTTTTAATGGAAGCATTTCAATTTTACTGATTGGGGGGAATGTTTTATTGTGTTCCTGCTTATGGCATCATTCCTTGGATGTATCTCCTTGCTCTCTTGAACATCTACAAGTTGGGGGTATCCAATCATAAGAATGCCTTTATCTCATGTAGAATGGATTCAGTGACTAATTATCGAACTTTCTTTCTGAATTTTTTTTTTAGCCTCCCAGTTGGGGAAGGTGTGTGGGTGAAGATTTTAAAAAATTTTTAAAAATTCATTCCTGGGATGAGGGCCATCACTGGCTAGACCTGCATTTATTGCCCATCCCTAATTTCCCAGAGGGCAGTTAAGAGTCAACCACATTGCTGTGGGTTTGGAGTCACATGTAGGCCAGACTGGGTAAGGATAGCAGTTTCTTTCCCTAAATGGCATTAGTGAACCAGATGGGTTTTTATGACAGTCGACAATGGTTACATGATCATCACAAGACTCTTAATTCCAGACTTTTATTGGATTCAAATCCAATCCTGGCAGAACATGTCCCCAGCACATTACCTGAGTTTCTGGATTAATAGTCTAGGGATAATACCACCAGACCATCACCTCTCCTTAAAGATATCCCACAGATTTCATTGCTCAATCAACTGGGGGACTTGAGAGGAGACCTTATCTTAAAGCTAGAACCAGGTTTTTAGGACCCAGTCGCACAGTAGAATTCTGTCCCAAAAACCTGGTCACTGGGACAGTTGGAGTTTTTAATGGTGAGGCCAATAGGTTGTGATTAGGCAAAGTTTAAGTCATGAAAATAGAGTTGTGGTACATATTACCCATGATCAAATTGAATGTGAGGGCTGAATGGCCTCCTGCTTATAGATGCTTTCAAATGACACTTCAGAGATGCAGGTGGAATTTGATCTCGGGCCTCCTGGTTTCAGGATATGGACGCTACCATGGCACCATGAGCTCTACTCCTCTTGTTGATATGTTCCTTGAACCTTGTTGATTTGCTTTTATTTGCACACAGCAGATTGGAAGTGGGGATTTGATTGCCCTGTCCTTGTGGCTGTTTGATCTGCAACGTGGTTATGCTGTGACACATGATGTGTTGTGGAAGTAAAGTCCGACAATCTAATCTACTGTCTGTCCTGTAGGCAAAGGGTCATTAGCAGCCTGCTGTCATGTATTAGCCTCTATGGTCAGAGATCTACTTTAAGAGCATGTAGGCCTGACGGACTCTGAAATCACATAAGGAGTGGGAATAGAGCAGAGTAATAATGATTGCAGTACCTGGGGGGGTGGGGTGGTTAGTTGTTGGAATCACACATTTCTGCTTTATGTAACCCCAATTCAGAGCTTGATGCAATGTGCTCAGATTTGCAGATGATACCACTAGGAGGGACTGAGTGAACTGCAGGAATGAATGAATGATTTATTGACGCATGCACTTTACAGTGAGGAAAACAGTAAAATACAGTGGAAAGCTTTTCCACTGTCACCACGATCCGGTGTCATTTTGAATAGCTTAACAATAAGAACAAAAAGTAGAAAGATAGAGCTTAAAGAGAGTCCGTCAGTTTAGAGCCAGCTCATTGTCAACGATGCCTGTACCACTGTCCCTCTGCCACTGCCTCACGACAGTCTACGCTGGACCCAACCAACATCGAAGTCGCTGATTCTCCGGTGCTAGCCTTTGCTGCTGGGCTGATTCTCTTCGACCAATGCGTCGCTGTCGCCTGCTCCAGACCCACCAACATCAGAGTCGCACCTTTCACTGGTGGGCTGAGTCCCCTCTGCTACTGCCTGCACTCAAACCCACCAATGTTAGAGCCACACCTTTCGCTGCTGGGCCCATTCTCGTCGATGTCACTGTGATGCCCTTCCGCCAGCGCCAGATCCAACCAGCGATGATGTTGCCGATCCTCTCACACTATCTTTCACCGTCGGGTCTACCTCACCGTCCTCTGTCCATGTAGCAGCCGCCAATTCAGACACCTGGTCCCCTGCTCGCCCCAGAAGGCTAAGTAGGGGCTTACTCACTGGCGCCATGAGGTCCGCACCAGGCCCGTTCACCACGCCAGTACCATCTGAGCTCGGGATAGGAAGTAAGTAAAGGAAAAGAGAAGGGAAAAAAAACAAGGAAAGAGAGAAGAAAAGCAGTCTGAACGGATGAGCCGCAGGTCAAAAGCATTCCTCCGCTGCCATCTGGAAAGAAATTGATGCAAACGTGGGAAATGGATGAAATTTAACACAGACCAAGGTATAGGTTTGTGCAAGAGGAAAGAAAAGGAGGGCAACCAAGGTGTAAGGATCATGCACCTTTACAGCATAGGCCATTCAGCTTGTGCCTTTGCCAGCATTTTGGAAGAGCTGCTAATTCCAGTTTCAAAAGAGTGATGATGATGTAATTATGTAACTAAAGTTTCTCAAGCGTACAGTCGCAGGAGTCAAAGATCATAGATCGAAGGGTGATCTGGTCCTTGTGTGAGAATCACTTGTCCGATGACTTGAAGCAGCAATCAAGTCACTTGAGGGAGAGGCAAGAATTAATTGTGATAAATAAAGGGTTAGTCACAAATGGATCGAATAAAGTGTGATTGGGAAGCTTATTTTTATTATGGGAGTAGAATGTGGAATGCAATACCATGCAGAACACCTGAAATAAAAAGTGAGATTTAAGGGGAAGTCAGACAAATGCATGAGGAAGAAGGATGACTAGCTGCGATTAGAATAGATCAGGTAAGGCAGGAAAAGACTTGTGTGGAGCATAAACTCCAGGACAGACTTGGTGGGCAGAATGGCCTATTTCTGTGCCAATCACTGTGATGTTGGTGAATATCTGGCAGCATAAAAATTACCCTGCTGCAAAACACTAACCAAAACAGCTAAGTTTCATTGGCAAACCCTTAGAGGTTTGTATCCTCAACAATCTAGATGCTGTTGTTGAGTGCACTCGTGGCCGAAAAGAGGGAGATAGAAAGCAGTGAGCAAAGGAAGTGAGAATGAATTGTTTTTCCTGTTTTAAAGCCCAAAAGATAGAATTTTGGACACTCTCTCTCATCCTGTGCTGAGGTGGTTTTGCTGAGTCAGAGCCTCGGGTTTGCTTGCGTATGTCGTGTCAGACAGCTGCTGCAAACAGAGAGCAATGTGTTTCCTGAAGCATGAGCTGTAACTGTGGCTGCTATACGTGCCAGTAAACACATTTCTTGGGCCGATTTCAGCGGAAGCTGAAGCATCTGAGTGTTCCAGAAGGCTATAATGTGGGCTTAGTGGAGTGGAGGAAGGGAAACTTAATTAGGCGTGTCCAGCAATGTCTAAATGTCATAGAGCTAAACATGCTTGCCAGTTTGCTAACCTAGCACAGGATTTTCTTTTAATACAAAGTGCGCGCACATAACAAGACTACAAAATAACTAGTGCATAGAATTTTGATTGTCCCACCTCAGTTATAACCTAAGCAGGGCCCTGGAGAAGGGGAGATTGCTGCTGTTCACAGCTGTGGCATTCTTGCAGGATCATCTCAGTTAAATAGCAAACCTCCAAATTCTGACAACAGTCCAGATTCTAAAGCGGATGCTGAATAAATGGGATCCACGTGCAAACTGAGCATCCCTATTTTCCTCACTGGTATCCACTTTGGTTCCTACTTAGGCACCTAATTTTATTTCTTCAGTATGAGGGATTTATTTGAGAGTCTTGCGACTTCCCTTGCCTCCCTTTTGAGTGAAGCTGCTGGCTTCTGGACAGTTTGAGTCTGCAGTTTCCCCAGCGGTGCTTCCTCTTTGCCATTTTGGCAACTTAACGTTTAGGGAATTGAGACCACTGACCCTCTAACATAGAAAATAGATGCAGGAGGAGGCTAATTGACCCTTTTGAGCCTGTACCACCATTCAATATGATCATGGGTGATCACGCAATTTCAGTATCCCACTCCCGCTTTCTCTCCATCCCCCTTGATCCCTTTAGCCGCAAGGGTCATGCCCAGCTCCCTCTTGAATATATCTAACAAACTGGCCCCAGCAGCTTTCTGTGGGAGACAATTCCACAGGTTCACATCTCAGAGTGAAGAAATTCTTCCTCATCTCAGTCCTGAATGGCTTACCCCTTTATTCTTAGATTGTGTTTCGTGTTTCTATCAGAGGTCATGGCGGGTATCAAGGATAAGGACCCTAATGCTGTAGAAAGACCCAAAGTGTTTTGCTGGAGTGTTGCCAAGGAATATTTGACACTGAACTGCCCAAGGGAATATTAGGACAGGTGACCTCAGCTTGTTCTAACCTAGGTGGGGTTTGAAGAACATCCTTAAAGGCAGAGACGTTTGAGAGGGGGAATTCCAGTGATTCATGCCTTAAAGCAGTTGAAGACAGGGCTGTGAGTATAGGGGTGGCGGATATTGAGAATGCATGAGAGGTCAGAAGTGGAGGAATGCATAGATCTCAGGGTTGTCAGAATGGGGCAAGACAGAGATAGAGAGGAACAAGGCCATCGGGATGTTTGAACTCAACAAGTGAGTTTTTAATTCCAAGGTCAGTAGGGATTCCCAACATAAAGGTGAATGGGAATTGGTGCACCTTAAGATAAAGATGGCAGAGTTTTGGGCAAATTGAAATTTACAGAATTTTTTTGTTCCTTTTCGCTAATAGCTAATATGGTTTGCTAATAGTGAACTCAAAACATTCGGAATTGTTTACTGTTGCAAATTTCATCCCAGCTAGGACAATTGAAAAGGAATGTTGCTGGTAGTTTTGACCAGTCTGACTATGGATTGCACACATGGACATATTGTGACTACTTACCTTCACTAAACTTCAAGAATTCTTTAGTTCCTTTAGCAATTCTGATGTGCAATTTCTGTTTTAATTTAGCGTCTTTCTTGTGACCTCTTTTTTTAAGTTTAGTGATATCTATGGCCGACCAGCAAAATTAAGGATGGAGTTAGATCTAAAGCAGAGTCCATACAAAGTTGCGAGAAAAAAGCGGCAAGCGGAGGATTGGGAGCAACTTAAGATTCAGCAAAAGAGGACCAATCAATTGATTGAGAAGAGAAAAATAAGACTGAGAGTAAACTTGTAAGGAACATAAAAGCAGGCTGTAAAAGCTTCTGTAAGAATGTAAAAATGAAAAAGTTAGCGAAGGCAAATGTAGATTCCTTTACAGTCTACATTGGTAGAATTAATAGCGAACATTTTGCTCGTATTATTTAGGTTTCTATGTTTGTATAGTCAACTGCATAGCAGAAGCTGGATGTTTGGATTTATTACATTGTAATTGATATTTTGCTTGCCTTTCTGCCTACAGGGTTCTGGCTTGTTTGGACCATCATCATCATCCTGAGTTGTTGTTGTGTCTGTCACCATCGGCGAGCCAAGCTCCGTCTGCAACAACAGCAACGGCAACGTGAGATAAACCTCATCGCCTACCAAGGAGCCCGGAACTACTCCTTGCTCCCACTCTACCTGAGTATGTGTCTCTATTGGAGCTCATCATTCCTGAGTAGTGATGCTTTATCATTAGCTCTTTGAGAACATTGACTTGTGCATCTTGCAGGGACAAACTGGTGGCTGCATTGCTAGCAATGTTTTGATGATTGCTGCTTCTTTGTCCTTCTGTATATCTGATGTGTTTGATCTAACTTTGCATTTGGCAGTTCAGCCATTTTTCTTCCAGGTTTGGTGCAAATGTAATGCACAATTATATGGAATTTTACAAGATAGAAACGGACCATTTGGTGTTTGCTGTGTGTGAATGTCCTCCCATTCTACATCACCCGATTGTCTGTCTTCTCTTTTCTCCCTCGCTGTCTAGCTTTCTCTCCAATGTGTTTCTGCTCTTCATGTCATCTGTAGTTTTTGTGGTAATAAGTTCCCACATTCTGGCTCATCTCTGGATAAAGATATTACATCTTTAGACAAAGAAGAAACCTTTTACTTTTTTTAAAATTAAACTGAGTACTGGCCGTACCTGAGTTTTTGATACAGACAAGCGGCTGAAGGCTCCCCTGTAAGTAGAAAGGTGCATTTCTTTTCATGGGATGTGGGAAGTGTTGGCAGGTCTAGTGTTCATTTGTCTGTTCTAATTGCTCAGAGTCAACCACATTGCTGTGGGTCTGAGATTGTATGTGGCCCAGACCAGGAAAGGATGGTCCTTCCCTAGAAGACATTAGTGAACCAGATGGGTTTTTATGATAATCAATACTGGTTTTATGGTTTCCATTAGGCTAACTTTATAGTCCTGGTTTTATTTATTAAATTGAAGTTATATGGTGCACATTCTGGAATCAGCAGGAGATACTAGTTCTAGTGAGTTGGCTCTTGGCGTTGCTGAGTTAGGTGTAGGCAGTGGGATTAGTGCCAGGGTTCACAGACTTGCAACAGAGAGCTCCTCCTTGCATCAATTAATTTGATTCCTACTTGTACCTATGAACATGGAATGGGGACAGTGATAATTCTGTTCATGGATGGATTGATTCAGTGCTTGAGATCGAGGTTTACATTTGGAGTGCAGTGCTGCAGTATCATTCTCTTCCTCAAATGTGGGAAGAGGGAAGAGAATATTGGGAAAAACACTGGAAGGACACAATATTCATTAGGGCTCTGGATTTTCTCTTATTGTTTAAAGTTAGTGTCATCTTTCCAAATATGTGTTCTTCAAAGATTTCTTATTCCGTAATGTAAATATTAAGATAGTAAGGTCAGCAAGGAGCTACTCCCCATTTTGCACCATCTTGTTGATTAGAAGGTTTGGTTCTGAGTTGGGAGGGATTGCCTGGTGTTAAAATTACAACCAGACTTCAGTATAAAAGGGTAGTGGAAATCTGGAACTCTTAAAAATGGAAATTAATGTTGGACCAATTATTGATTTTTAAATCTGAAATTGATGGGTCTCTCTGTCTCTCTGTCTCTCTGTCTCTCTGTCTCTCTGTCTCTC